GACCTTTAGGCTTGGTTCGCAGGGGAGACACAAATTCTGGCTCCCTGTCGAAAAATAGAAATCAATTTTCGGTTGTTCATTAAGGGATCAGCTTTTCAATCAGACATAACACTTTTTCCGGGGAATAAGAGTAAGTAGGATAACCAACTTTACGTACCTCTTTTCAGGCTCATCACGTGATGAAACTTCTTGATCGTCATTGGTTGAACCATGACACGCTAATCCAAGGATTAAGGCTGTTAATGTGATGGCAAGGTCGGACGAGCCTGACTGTGTTACATGCCCCAATCTATTATACCAACTGGGGTTGCAACTCGAAATAGCTGGGGAAAAAAATCAATGCTCCCTAACGTTATCTTAAAGTCGTCGACAGTATAAACAAAAATGAAAAGTAAAGCATTGCTTGTAAAGACAGAAATAAGTAGTAAAACAAATACGTTGTGTGTCAAGAGTTTGTGTAGGATGGGCTCATAGTGGTGCCACGTCCATTGGCAGAAATCAATTGAGGAGTAGCAGATATAGAGGGAGAAAACTGAGTAGAAAGTCGGGAATTTGAATTTGAATTTGAAGGAAATAGGGGAACGGTTGATTAGAAGAGTACTTATACATATAGAAATTACCTTTCCCCGCTGCCCCCCTCCCCCCCAACCCCCCCACCAAAAAAAAAAAAAGAAACTACATACACTGAAGTAAAAGTTAGGCTGAGACATATGTTGTAGGGGGACGAAGTTTTCTAAGCCTGAGAGGGTAGGCGAGATAGTGATTTCTGCGATATTTCTCTCTCCTAGACCGTTATAGATTTAGGTTACTCAAAAGTGAAACTATCCACCTTCCCAAAATCAGGTCCTTGACCGGTCTATTATTTCCGGAATTATACAGCTCATGCAAAAATAAAGGTAAGAACTGGGAGCGGGCTGATTACTTCAGTAGAATGGCATTAATTTTGGTTGTCATAACAACAACAACAAAAAGACGGAAATGACATATTCAAACTAACTTTTCTCTAGGTTTATACAAACCTGGTCTGTTAAGTTCCTCAAATATTCTTACGCCGTCGACTAAACTTGCTCCTAAAGATGATGAAGATTTCTGTTGTGTTTCAAGAGGCTTACGGGCGGCATTTGCTGAGTTACTCTTCTCAATCTTCTCTTCTAATAACAAAAGTGACAGTTATATGACAAAACCACAACGAAACATTTAATTTAAGCAAACTAATTATAAATTAAAGAAGTTCGGAAGATTCTTTAATCGAGTGACGGTCCATAATCGTGTCTTGACTCGGGTCGTATCAGGTTGAGGTTCTTTGTCACAACAGCTAGACAAGCTCGAGGTTGTTCGTCACTCAATATTTTTTCTTCATTTTTTTAGCTAAATATGAAATAGATACTGAACATTTTAGGAACCTTTCTTGGTATATGATTCTTCCTCTTTCGTAATAAAGCTGAACATCTCCTGAATTTGTGCTGCTGCTTCTTCTTGTGCCTGTTAAAGAACACAGTCATCGTTTACTAAACTTCAACGTTCACTATAAACATAAACACTATAAACAAAAAAGGGCAATACTAACAAAGTTGCAAAATCATCATTTTAAGTTATCATGCTTTAACTATCATAATTTTTTATACCTTCTTTAATTTTTCTTCGTGTTCCTTCTGCTGTCTTTCTCTCTTTAATCTTTGCTGTCTTTCTTGCTCTGCTCTCTGCTTATCTTCACGCATGCGCCGGAACTTAGCGTATAAAGCTCTTGCTTTCACAGTAGCCTGGAGTCTAGTTATTCCCTTCACAACCTTTAGGGAACAGAACGATTATATCATTGATTTTTTTGGTAGCTTATACAAAACCCTCTTCTCGGGGATAATCATGAAATTCGNATCATCATTTTAAGTTATCATGCTTTAACTATCATAATTTTTTATACCTTCTTTAATTTTTCTTCGTGTTCCTTCTGCTGTCTTTCTCTCTTTAATCTTTGCTGTCTTTCTTGCTCTGCTCTCTGCTTATCTTCACGCATGCGCCGGAACTTAGCGTATAAAGCTCTTGCTTTCACAGTAGCCTGGAGTCTAGTTATTCCCTTCACAACCTTTAGGGAACAGAACGATTATATCATTGATTTTTTTGGTAGCTTATACAAAACCCTCTTCTCGGGGATAATCATGAAATTCGTATTAACACTACAGCGTATACGGCATAATTGCATGCTAGCGTGCTATGCGTGTTATGAAACCATACAGGGCTCAGTTTCTGAAAGGTTGATTAGAGCTGATCGAGGAGTAAATTTTGATTAATCCACAAATGTATGTATGACCTTCCTAAAGATTGCTTAATAATGGTAAATGCGGGACTGGGAGGAGTGCAATTTGGCCTAAAATCATTCGCGTGGTTCATATTTAAAATCGGAAAGAAGGGCAATCCACTTTATAGGCTGATAGGAGAATGTTTTTGCTGCTATCGCGTCATGGTATCTTGAAATCCCTGAAAGGGGTAGGCTTCTTAGTTACTCGTTGGTAATTGATTGAGATCTGTCAATCACATAACAGTAAAGTTACAGACAGACCTTTTGATAAGTTTTCTCATCTCGATGTCTTCTCCAAGTCCTCTGAATCATCACAGCCGCACGTGACTGTTTGCGATGTTTTCTTCCATGCAAAAACCTCTTTATTGATCTTTGAAGTACAATTACTGCATTGGTCAATAATGCATCACGCGCTTGTTCTAGGATGTCACCGTGGTGATCCTGTAAACAAAAATGACATGTTTGGCCTTAAATACCCTATAAGAGAAGAGGAAACGCTTCAGTAACTGCTAATTTGGATAAACAGAATGGTTCAGTTGATAAAAGAAATGGATCCCTGAAGAGAAAGACAAATTTTATCTTGGTAAACTGATGATTTGAACACTCTAAGGTAGCCAAAATCCCTGGTAAACCAAGAAAGCTTGTTTATTTATGAGTTAATGAGTCATAAGTCAAGCTTAAGAAACAGGCTTGGGTTAAGCACTGAAAATAGTGATCAGGTTTAAGCACTGAAAATGGCAATTAAAGCTGAACACAGACAGTAGAGATTAGGGCTTAAGCACGACTGTGGTGATTATGGTTTAGAACTGACTACAGTAGTATAAAGGGTTAACAACGCACTGACTCAAAATGGTTAGCATTTATTCAGTTTTAGGTTTGTCACTATATGTACCGTATGTATTATCAGAACAGTTACTGGGAGTAATTTCGAGAGATTCAAAATTTTTTACTTGACTCAAGACTCATTTACACTTATATATAATTTTGCGTTGAACATGATTTCATTTAACGAAGTGAAATTGCACCAGTTATAAGCTAGGCACAAAATTGTTTGGATCAGTATAAGATTCTGGGAAACTTCTTAACTACCTCTCCCCTAACTCAACGCTAACACGAACTTCTCACTATAAGCACTGTTTTGACTAAAATTTTGGGTTAAGAGAGGGTATTTAATCAAAGTGTAGTGATTAACCCACCTTTAAGAATATCATTCGATTTCCTATTGTCCATTCAACATCAGGAAGAAGTCTTTTAGCTAATGTCTCTGACATCTCCCGTGGATCAGTTCGAGGTATCTTTAAATCCTTCATAATGACATAATATCTGTTTATGAATTCCTCAAAAGTATAACGAATAGCAAAACCAGCTTTGCGAATCCTGTAAGTTAAAAACATAATTCCAGTTATTTATTTCTTTGTTTAAAGCTAACCGTTAAACTTAAGAATTATGCTTTTAGACGAAACGCTGCTTTGAAGTGGGACTTGGTAAATTCAAACCTGGAGCTTGGTCTTGACGATAATGTCGGTGTTGAGCTTAAGAGTTTCAATGAAGGCGATGATGAAGCCGCCATCTTGAAAAGTGAAAAAACAGCTCACGTTCAGCTCACGACGTACGACGTCGCTTAAAGGACTGGGAATAGTATCATGAGTGGCTCCCATTCTCCCGGAGTAACCCGGTAATTTTTGGAAATGAATGTATTAGCTTGAGATTCCTGTAATAGTTCCCTGACTCTAAATAATCTTAAGGATAACTTGATGTATTTTTCCGTTTAATTTTAACCCATACTAGCAGTTTTCTCAGTGCAGGAGGGTAATTAATTTAAAATAATAATAATATTAATAATTTTTATAATAACAATGAGGTTCCGCAAAAGGTAGCAAAAATGATTTTTTGTCAATCATTTAACCAGTTTAGTTTCTTACTTGACAGTTTCTAACATTCCTGAGTATTTCAGTTGCTGCCAGCACAAATGACGATCAAATATCTGGATTTGGAAGGGAAACAGGTTTCAATGAATTCATAAGTATGCCAAGGAGGCCTTTTCTCCCGAGAGACATGAATTGCAAAGTACTCTGCATGTTTTATTCTTACACGAATAGATTCTTATATACAATCAATTTGAATCCGTAAAAACAAAATCCCCCTGTCTCTTGATCTCTTGTGGAGGGGGTCGAACACCCTAGCTGGACTCCCCTTTAGGGAGTGAAAGCCAGAAATGCTGAGAGAAGTGCTCCCATGCATGCACCTTTGCACCGGGTTAAAGCAGCTTTAGGTTGATTCAGTTTGGTTAGATTGCACAGTGTACCTATCTATTAGCGCTTTCAGTAGGATACAAGGTGGCAAAAGCGGAATTAAGATGTAATCAAGAGATCCTATTATGGCTCTTGATGCAATGCAATCACAAAAGGGGATCATACGCTAAGTTGACGATGTAGAAGTCACTATTTTCAGGACAATTGGTGACATACCATGGCTCTCTTTAGTTCATTGGGTTTAATGCAGCGAACAAAAGACGGTTCACAGTTTAATAACATCTTCATCAAGACATCTAGAGATCTTCTGAACTGTGCACTCAATGTTGGTGATCGCTTTCTAGTTTCTTCGCCCTAGAAAAAAAAATATCGATATGAACCGTGTCCTAAAGGTATCCATTTTAACGTCTCATTAGAACGCAGTCCTGACTAAATTAAATGGACCAGGTATAAAAATGGAGTTGGCCACTGTTTCGAGCTGGTCAAAGTCACTTGCATATCGCTTAGACTACCAAAAACGTATCTAAATGTAATAAGCCACTTGTGAACCGCATGCATGAAGGTCCAATAACTGTTAAAAATCCCGGCCAGGATAACTTAGACTTCGTTCAAATATTAAACCAACCTAAGTATAATTACAAATCAATTTCACGATCTTTGAATTTTCTCATTGCAAATCAGTGATTGTGAAGAGTGCAGCTTGAGTACAGCTCTCCCCTCTTCTCGAAAAAAAAAAAAAAAAAAAAAAAAAAAAAAAAAAAAAAAAAAAA